ACCGGGTCTGTAAATACTATGCAGACCTATTCCGAGTGCGGTAACTATCTTACCTACATGCTCTTTTGTTTTTCTATCCATACATCAGTTTTTAGCTCAGTATTTATTAATATTACTCACAAGAAACATATTACTTATGTACTTTATCATGTTTAAAAAAGCATTCCAAAGCCAAGCAAAGATACCATCCGCTACGCTCTTGTAATTCATTCGTTCACAAATCAGGTGTTATTTGAATATTCTCGTGATTTTCGTGGGGTTTCATTAGGTAATGTACTTGTTGAGTTGAGTCACAGAAAATGAAAACAGAACTTGTCGAGTAGGGAAAGGTAAGATCATTATTTTGATATATGAATACATAACATATTAATAATATAAACAAATACTGAGGAAGATAAAAATGTTTTCTAATCATAAAAACAAAAAACGGAACACTTTATCTTTATATATAATAATTTTCATGGTAAATAGATGATCAGGCTATTTCTTATATAATTAAAATATAAGTTTTTTAAAGGAAAGTAAAAGACGGGGTTCTATGAATAAATATTAGTAATACATGTAGTAACACCGTTATGTAAGTTGGGTTTTGTTGTTGTTGTTTTTTATGATGGCTGATTTTAAATGTTCTTAGAATTTCATCCATGCATGTTTGGAAGAATTTTCTTAATTAGCATTATCCGTTGTAAGACCGCATGTAAGCACGCGGTCTAGAATGGAAGCGCAAGTCGTATTCTTGTCTTGGTACTGGTATACAAAATCCAAATTGTAATGTAAAAATAACTGGGAAAAAATGAGAAAAACGGTCTTATACTCAAGATGAACTATACTCTCACTGAAAGTAATATTTTGGGAAAGAAAGATGCAGAAGTTGACTTTGATTCGATATGCACCAATAATATAATCGTCGTATTTATCCTATAATGCAGAATTGTTAAAATAATGCAGGATTGTGCAAATTCAGACATAGTTGTGGAAATAAATACCGAAAACTAGTATCTTATGAAGCTATATAGTTCGGCAAATGTGTTAGGTATACCGAAAAGCAAACTTTAAAGAAAGGCTTAATGTGCGTTGTTATACTCATTAATATCGGCGAAACACAAAACTTCAACGCCAGAACAGTAGCCAGTTCGTTTTTCTCACAAATAATCTGGAATATAAGTTATGAGGGTCCTTACAGCCGTATGCGCTAATTTATTTCGATTAATCTTTAAAATATATATCGACCCTTTTTCCTATTCAAAGTGGTCATTATCCCCCCCCCCCACAATTCAGCGTTATTTTACGGTGAATATTGTGTACTGTAATGCACGAGTTTCTCGACTTCACATATTTTCTATTGTATAGAGAACAATAGAACAATAACCGGTCGGTATCTATTTGCAGACCTGTTAACCGGTCGGTAAGTGATTTACTAGACCGCTTTTAACAAAGGAGCCGGTAGGTAATTATTCATATGAACCTCTTTATTGGTTATATATTGATAAAAAAAACCGAAAGACACAGTTTGTAAATATTTATGACAATAAAATATGAAAAAGGTATACGCGCCGAAGTAAGCTATAATTAAAATTCCCGCGCTAAGTCGCGGTGGTGCTTGGGATAATCACTTGATACTGTAAATGGCAGCCATTTTACAATACGAATCCTCGAAAAGTTTATTCTGCCGAAAAGATATGAAAAAATACTTGCAATTCAAAGTTTGCTGGCTAAATAAAGATTATCGATTTACTCTTTGCACACTTCTTCTCTGCCTGAGTAAAATAATATTGACGTGTTTTCATTGGCTTAAACCACATGTAGGTGTGAACTAATTTCGTGTTCATTAAAATTATTCCGTTAATAGACAATCTTATTTACAAATGAATTGATAAAACAACAATCCCAGAAGCATTTAAGATAATAACAATCATTGGAAAAAAATAAATGCATATAAATTGTAAATTTGTGTATGACAACTCAACCCCCTAAACAAAACATATTAGACTCAACCAAAACAAACGCCTGCTTCTTCACCTAACTATGTAGTTGCATGACCATGATTAGCAATTTAGCGAACCAAATCTAAGAGATAAACCTATTGTAAAAATAATACTATGACCACAGCAGATTTCGTACAGAAAAAAGATGACTATGAAAAGTTTGTTTTAGACTAAAAATAACATTTTATGAACCCCTCTCCGACTTGTTTTTATATACACAAAAAATATCATATAAAGATATCTGGAATCAAAATTTGGCATTCGTAACATTATGTCAATCCATTTATTCTATCTAGATGAGAATATTTGTCACAGACTATTTATATGTAAGAACCATATCACGACTTTGCTTTTTTGTAATTTATAATAATCTATATAGTATATGTTTTTTTTTTATTGTAAACGATGTAAAATGTTTCCTGTAATAAATATGGAAATAAGAATTGGAAATTGAAAGAGCATGACTTGTTTGTTATGTTCATCACTTAAGTATACACGTGAATCTTAGTAAATGATTTTTCTTGTGTTCCTTTGCCATTTTATCATTTCAAAGGAGACACGTCTTTTAAGAGTTACACACAATTTATTCATTTTTACTTGAAATGCTTCGCATGGCGTATTTTATATGTAATCTATGATAAGCCTAACACACATATGTTTGCTTCATTTAATTTGTTTGAGACAATCTAATTATTACGCATTTTACGGTTGCTGAGACATACTTTAAACCTCATCAAATATATTTCCATGAAAATGTTTATTTTTCAAGATCATTCGTGAAAACGACGACCTGACTAGCGTATTGAAGGCGATAATTAGTTACGTTAATATCTTTAAATACAATAACGTACATATTATTTTATGATTTTTATATGCGGTGACTCTGAGACATTTTCCAATCTACTCGTGTTATATTACACTTAATTAAGCGGATAAAACCTAATTGAGACCATTTTTTGGAGGTAACGCCGAATTCGTGAATGAAGCACTGAAGCAACGGCGGTTATCTCATTAAAATTATCTAAATCTTATTTTACCAGCTTCCTTCTATTGTTTTACGACAATTGTAGTTTGACAATTGTCTTAAGTATACAGAATATGAAAAAAAATCTTAAAAAATGTGTTAAATGTACATATTTATTTGACGGAACACAAAAGTCACCTTCAAAACGGTAATATCAGGTTGACTTTCTCACGAATGATCTAAATAAATAAACATATTCCTGAAAACAATTGTAATGCTGGTTTAGCAACATATGCGCTAATTTCTTTCTTTAAATTTGATTTAGAATAAAATATTTGGTTCGTTTACTTTCTGTGTTATTCGCTTTGGCAATAGCGTTGCACAGATTCGGCGTTACTTTTAGGTTAATTGCACATTCCTGCGTTACTTGATATGCACGATGGAAACGCAAATTAATATTACGGAGTAATGTCAAATAAAGTTTCCTTTTGAAAGGAAAGGCTTGCACAGTTGTGCCTTCATCCCAACATATTTAATTGTTTTTATTTTTGTAAAAACGAATATTTTTGTCAAAACGATTTGAAATCTATTCTCTATTGAATAAAACTAATAAAGAAAATAATCAATCGTAAATATACTAACGTGGAGATCTATCTATCATACTGAAAGGAAACAAGTGTGCACATTTCATTTCCACTTCGTTACGTGGTACCAATTAATAAGCATGTTCACAGATACGATGCGCTATCTATAGATCATCACGTGGTAAGGTTAATGATATGCATGGACTATTTTTAGATTACCTCACCAAGTTCAGTAGATCTCATGCACTAATATTCTGTGTGATTTGGACCACCCTTTGAAGACGGAATACTACTACAGTCAACATCCTCTATTGTATAAAACTAATACAGACAAAAAACAATTATAAAAGAAACTAACTTTTGCGTCTTGAAAAAGAATTGAAACGGAACAATTTCGTTTATAATTTATTACGGTTTAAATCAATAAATCAAGTAAAAATACGAATCCTATTTATATAAACAAACTGGGATTACCGAAGTAACTAAAATAGCTTAGATTTCCGTAACATTACTTCGTCTGATTCCGCAGCATTCGGAACTGCCTCGGCTATTATCTATAATATTAACCTTATCCGAAGACTGACGGAAAGGGCCGAGTAGTTGCGATTGATTCTGCAGTATGACGGAATCGCCCGAATTGTCACGATTGCAATCGGAACTACATCGGCTATTATCATTAATCCGAAGAGTGACGAAAAAGGCCGAAAAGTTGCGATTGGCACGATTGCAGCTGGTTTCCCGTTCAATCATGCACTTACAAATGTAAGCCGAAAAACACCTAACTGGAACAAGTTTTCCATATGAAATGGCTGAATATGCTTTCATATTGCATTACCGGACGCTTCCGACCTGGTAGTGTTCCGAATTTAGAAATCCTGTAAACTAAATGATATAATATTGTATGTCAGTCTTGTGTGTATGGATGATACTGGTGTGCATTATAGACTAATCCGAGATATTTTTTATACATACTTAGCTTTGTTGTTATTGTTGAAAGTGAATGTGCTATTTAAAGTTAAGTCCTTTTTCCATATCGGAAAGCATGTTAGTACATAAACGCTCTTTTTTGCGGTTAGAACAGCGAAAATTACAAAGCCCCTTTCTATGTTTTCAAGCGATATTTAGATTCAAAGGTATACAACATTCTATATTTAAAAGTGATTTAGAAAACCATTTACAAAACATATATGTCTAATGCGGTGAAGTCCGTGCAATGACTGATAAAATATTACACCATAGTCAATAGAGACAATCACGTTAATATTTCGAGTAATGTTAAAATTTCATTATTAAATTATTATCTGACTGAACTTGCCGTTAACATTAATAATTCAGTAATATTTCAACTATTGAACCTTAATACCATGGATAGACGATCACGAAATGTTTCTGTCAACAATTGATTATTTGATAGCACGCATATGATTAAAACCATGTTCCAGGTGACATTTTACTTCACCAACTTCCACGTTATGGTATGTATTGTAACACTTAATTCCATCATTTTCAGGTAAAACTTAAGTTTATTTTTTAAAATTAAAAAAATGCAATATGACATATCGGTTTTTATTCTTCCACTTGTTCTAAGTGAATTAAAAATTTAGGTTATTTTAAACGGATTTCTGGCAGAAAAAAATGAAAGAGATTGGAAATCTCTCATAATTATCATCAGAAAGAACCTCTCTTTGATTAATTACGATTTATTGGTCAGCATATTTAATGGTATCATTTTGAAACGGTTCTTACTTATATATGCATTTTATTTTGGTTATTTCAGAAATCATGGAAAAGATACTAACATATTTAGGGCTAGCGTTGTCTTTGATTTTTACACCAACATATGCAACGTTAAGTAATTCGACACGGAATTTACATGATGTTCTGTTAGATGATTACTATAGAGATATAAGACCGTGTTTAGACTGTCTGTCACCGTTAAATATCAGTGTATCTTACCACCTCACTGCACTCATCAAGTTAGATGAACTCGAAGGAGAATTACACTCGGTTGGCTACCTTAAAGTTGAGTGGATAGATGAACGATTAATGTGGAACCCATTGATGAATGGTGTTGGAAGTATATTATTCTCTCCTCATAAAGTAAGTGCAGAATAATTCAAACCTTTCAGTTTTTAAATGAAGTAAAAAATGTCTAGCCATATATGCTTCCTGGTACAATCAGTTTCCTCTACATTAAAGATATTTTATGCTCAAATTTGATATAAAAAGAAATTTATAATAACTACACAGTCTCTTTGGAAATATAAGATTAACATGTTAACATATTTTGACTTCACACAAAGTAGATATGAGCCGTGTCATGACAAAACCAACATAGTGGGTTTCAGGATCCATGCTGTTCGCTTACAAACCCTATTACAAGTAGAGAAACTGATTGCGAACAGCATGGATCCTGATCAGACTAGCGAACTTGATAGTGTAACTAATGAGTAAATTCAGTTCATCGAGAAAAACATCAAATAAATTGGATGGCCATTTCCAGGAACATAGTTACTGTTGATTTTAGCATTGACAAAACTAACAGTTTTTCGTTGGATGATGCTAAAACTCTGTTTTGTATATTGTTTGACATTCTATAAATAAAACAACATCAAAAAGACATTTACTGTCCCAGCCCCCATATACAAAAAAAAAAAAAAATCATCGGCCATATACTGCTGAGTTAAGCTAAGCACGTGAATAAGGAAACTTACTAAATTTGATGTCCAAAACGTTATCCATATAACATTGACGCAGAACATGTTCAGAGACGGTTTCACTGTTGATCTCTCCATTTAAACATTGTTTATCATGAATGAAAGCAAATTATGTCCGATTGAAAATTCCGTGCGAATATGCGAATACAATTTAGCTACACTTTTCATTGCCCAAAGCTTTAAGGCCATGCAAATATTTTCTATATTTTTTTATTTTCAACGTGAACATACGTTTAATTTCAATTAGATTTAATTTTAATTAAATGTGTTTATTTATTTATCTGTTCTTTACACTTAAACGTCGTATAAGTCAGATACAGTTACTCCTATTTTCTATAAAAGTATCTCCTTGCAGACGTAAAGAAGACAGTTCGCTAGGACAAACAACAATTTATCATCGGCTTCGCCTCTGACAATTTGTTGTTCATCCTAGCAAACTGCCTTCTTCTTCTCTGTAAGAAGACACCTTTGAAGAAAAACTCGTACTGTATCCATTACATATATAGTGTCATTAAAAACTGGCATTTAAAAAAAAAATACAAACTTTACTAGATCTTTTATAAGGAACGCAGCTTCCAATTCATAGTTTAATCATTCTTTTATTCAAATTAGACATTTTTAGTAAGAATTTTATAGATTTCAATAAAATTTGGATATTAATATATATTACTCAAGAATGAGCATAGTATATCTTTAAATAAGCATTTTTATTACATTTGTTATACTTAAGATAAATCAAGTATGAATCCATATGCAATAAGATATAATAGTAATCATAAATATTAGTGTTAATCAAGTATGAATCCATATGCAATAAGATATAATAGTATTCATAAATATTAGTGTATCATGATTTTCGTATAAATATTGTTGAAACAGCGGCATCAAAGTTGATATTAAAATGTATAACAAAACATCTACATTTTTTTATGGCGATTTGGTTTGCTATCTTACAGTCTATTCCAACTAATTCAAGACAATGGTATTTGTTATTCTGTTCTGTTCTGTTCTGTTCTGTTATATTGTACTTGGTCAGTTAGGTTGCGTTTTGTTTATTTCAAATGACTTAAACGACTGTGCATTAAGTTTAGAACAATCCGATATATATAGAATATTAAATGAGTGTATAGGTTCAATACTGAATTTATTGAACGAGTTGAATAAAAATTATATTAAGCAAGCCTCTGGCGAGCAAAATTTTATTTTATTCAACGAGTTCAATAAATTTTGTATTGAACCTGCACGAATATAATATTTTATTTATCACATACCCAAAATAAAGACTTTGTCATTGATGCGTCTATAGTGTAAAGCAAACATTTAGCGGTCTATGCCCGGTCATACAATACTATTTACACGGAGTTGCAAAATCGGCACGGGTATGTATAAACAGAAAAAAAATCTGCACTTGTCGAAATGCCAGCATGCCATCCATCATCTTGACAATATGAAATTAGTTTCGTCAAGTTCCGACAATTTATCGTGTGTTATTACACAACTTAAATAATTGTTAGTGACCTATCCTATATGTTTTTTTTCAGATTTGGGTACCATCTTTAACTGTAGGAAATCCGTCGAGAGAAATAAGCGATCTCAATGCAGAAAAAACTCTCGTGCGAGTTATGTACAACGGTACAGTTATTTGGCACCCAGGAGACGTTTTTAAAACCACGTGTTCCTTCGATATTTACAGATACCCGTTTGACAAGCAAATTTGTTACGTTATATTTACTCCTTGGTCATACCGTGCAAACGAGGTTAGGTTACATGCAGCAGACGATAGCATCGATACGTCATTTTATCAGGAGAATGGACAATGGGAGTTGCTATCATTGTCTTCAGAAGAGTACATACAAAACGACGTGTCCTTTGTACAGTTTAACATCCGGTTTCATAGAAGATCGACATATTTCGCCGTGAACATCATCTTGCCGATCTTTATGTTGGCATTTCTGAATTGCTTAGCATTTGTGATTCCAGTGGAAAGTGGCGAGCGAATATCGTATACGGTTACATTGTTGTTGTCATTTGCCGTGTTTATGACACTTGTTAGTGATAATGTACCAAAAACCTCATCTCCAATGTCCCTCCTGTGTTATTTTCTCGCTGCATTATTTACAGGTAGCGTTTCCATTATGATCGTGATAATGTTAAACATGAGGCTCTTCTACAGAAACTCTTCAATTAAAATGTCACCAGTATATGTTTGCATTTACAAATTGTGTTGCCGTCCTAAAAAAAGAAGGCAGACGCGTGTCAATAAGATCAAGCCTGATGGAAGTGTATGTACAAGTGTAAAGACTAATTCTGAAGACAGTGAGGCTATAAATGAAATTTCTTGGCAAGAGTTGGCAGAAGCTTTAGATATTGTCGGGTTTATACTATCATTGTTATATTATATATCAATATCCATCGCGGTAAACTTGATGTAATGAGCACGTAGTACAACATACTATATATTGTTGTACAATTTGATTAATATCTGCTCCTAAATAACGTTACGCATTAAGATGTGACGTTCAGCAATAGTTTGTCACCTTCTCGTGATTTGTCAAACACAGGGGGTCGAACGTATAGCGGTGCGATACTCCTTTAAGCGAGGTGATTTCATGCGATACGCCCTAATGGCGGATTTACCCGTGTAAACACACGTCAGAGTGAGTGTTTTTTATTAAGTTTTTCATAAATCTTCGATTACAATTGCATATTTTGTATTGAGGATGTGAAGATAGGACCGACACACATTTCATCAAAATTACAGAGGCCTAAATTCATAATTAAAAAAGTTATTGAAGGTAAACTGACGGCAACTAATTTTGGGTCGGTGAATAAAATCGCTTAATGCAAGCTTATATTAATATAGTTAATTTGTTTTTCTTCTTTATTCTATAAGAGTAATCATAATTGAGTTGTATAGCAAGTACCTTTGTGCTCCGATATACATAGACGCTTACTGGTCAAAATATTTAAGTGTACGCTGGGTTTTGGTGCGATAAAATAACTGTACGCTGTTAAAGGTTCGATATTTTTCATTATCACATCTGTTGTACATGTTTTCCTATGATTATACTCAGATATCGACTATATATGTGCCCTTTTCCGGAATTCTGAAATTTTCTTCTTTCCTTAAAGATTTACTTGAAATAAAAGTTTTGTATAACCATCTATATAAGTATTTGAACTTAATTTGAATAATAAATAATATTTATCCTTTAATAATTAGGAGTTGGATAAAAGTAACCTTTACTCTAAGATCTTAGATAAAAAGTAGGAATTTGACCAAAATATGTAAGAATGAATTTAAGAAACCAATTAAGAAATCTTGTATAAATTAACTCACTTTCAAAGCAGAACATTTCAGAAAAATAGCAGTTAATATGTGATATAAGGGGTGTGTTACTTCATGAGGTTCTAAGATCTTTTGTACATGCTGCTGTCAAACTGATATTTTTTCATATTATAAATAGAATTGAACATTTCAGACAACCTATAAAATACAGTGAAAGTACATTTCGCTGCTGTTCTAGAGCTAGAGACTGAAAACCAGATGGTAAAAATCTTTAGGTGGTAAAATTCTTTTCTAAAATGTTGCTTAGAACAGGCTATTTTTGTAGTGCACATACTTGTGGCCTGTCTGTCAGGAAAAAAGCACAAAACTTCAATTTCAAACTTCAGTCAGTCATTGGACACCAAACAGCTCAGTGTCTTTCTTAGGAACAGCTGATGCTTACATGTGCAAATACACAGTTGTAGATGTTGCAGAGCAATTAAAACATTACAACTTGATTAACAAACAAAACTACTGCCAGATAGGTAATGTACCACAAGTACAAATGCTGACAGGATGTGCAAATAAACAAAAAGCTATTGAGTATATATTATTAGATTGAGTCACACTGTTTATGGAGTAGTATATAAATAAAATATGGGTTATGGGTTACCGTTAAAATATCATCATATTTGGAAAAAACATGCTCATACCCACTTTCGTTTTTGCTCCCGTCCGCCATTAGGGCGTATCGCATGAATTCACCTCGCTTAAAGGAGTATCGCACCGCTATACGTTCGACCCCCTGAAACAGTCAATCACTGGCGAGCTTTCACAATTTTGAAAGTTTTATTAAGCTAGTACGGTACTATCACCCAATTACCGTCATTTAATCAGTAATTATCTAATATTGAACCAACAAAAACATGTGTAAACAATATTGTTTCAGGTTTTAGTAATATCATAAGAGAGGTTGCTGATAATTACTATTTAAAAACATTAAATACATCGCATAATACAAGTTTTAATGATTTACCTGTAATCAATAGCGCAGACTGGTTTGATAGCGAATGTGCTATTGCTAGGAATAGGTATCTTGAAGCTTTACGGGATTTTAATAATTTTCGAACAGATGTCAGTCGATTGCATTTTTGGGAAATGCAAATTGTTATACAAAAGAATTATCCAAAGAAAAAGAAACGCTTATAAAAAATCTAAAGATACAAGGGATTGAAAGGCTTAGACACTGTCAGCCAAAAGCTTTCTGGAAGTATTTTAAAATAACGCATCCACGAAAACTTCGATTTCTTTGATTATTTCTTTCAATATTTTTCTAATCTTGAGAATGATACTTTTACATGTTATAATGCTGAATGTGAAAATTTCTGTGAAACTCATAATTTTGACAGTGGCTCTGTACATGAAGAATTTGACCGACCGACAAGTCCCAAGGAGATATTGAAAGCAGTTAAAAATTGGAAATGTAATAAAGCATACGGAATGGATTGTATGCTAAAATAATACTTTATAGAAACTATAGATATTTTATTACCATTTGTTTGTGATACTTTTAATGTTCTTTTAGATTCTGGTGTATTTCCCGAGCAGTAGAAGGAAGCAATAATTGTACCTATACAAAAAAGGGAGATAAAAATAATGTAAACAATTACAGCGATGTAACTTTATTGAGTTTTTTTTTAAAGATTTTCACGTCATTGTTGAATAACAGAATATAATTGTAAATTTTCGCAATAAGAATCAGGGTATATCTGATTCACAATTTGGATTTAAAAAAGGTAGTTCAACAATAGATGCTACTTTTGCTTTAAATACTTTAGTTGAGCACTATATTAACCATAATAAGCGTTTATATGTAGGTTTCATAGATTAAAAAATGTTTTGATTCCATTTACAGGAATGCATTATGGTTTAAACTTTATAGATCATGTGTACAAGGGAAAGTTCTTAGAATTATTAAAAACATGTATGACGTGGTATAGTCCTGTGTTGAACATTGTAATTCTTTTTCTGACTTTTTCTAATATGCGATAGGTCTAAGACAAAGGGAAATAATGTCACCAGTTTTGGTATCTTTGTTTTTAGAAGATATTTGTTCTTACAAGACAATATAAATACATGTAGTGGACTACTTAATGGCTCATTAGTCAATAATTGTTTTATTATATGAATAGGCTAAGAAATAAAAAAAATATAAAAATTACAACCTTACAGGGCTGGGAATCAAAACTGCGTCGTATCCTACAAAATGTAAACAAACGCCGCCATCTTGGAACGAAAAACGTATGTTTTTGTTTATAACTCTTTTTGTTGGAAATGACTGAAAACAAGATATATGTATTAACGCAGTTGTATTTTCATTGCAGGCTGAATATTGGTTAAACTATTTAAATTATGTGCTAGGTATGGTAATAACGTCCAACAACATTTCTTGTTTACAACTTAAGTCAAAAGCAGAGGTCACTCATTGGTTTCATTAAAATGGAAATGTAATACAATTCTATTAAGGCTGCTTTTTTGGTCGCATTTTAGTACTTATCATAAGCATCTACAGATTCCGAAAAGCTGTATCAAATGCAATATACATTGAAACACGTGATCGCACACCCATATGACAACGTGTTCTAGTGTTGCCTTAGCATGCTTATAAACTTGTTCCCGTGAGTTCGAAATGGAAGTGATTACTATTTTTGATACAAAATTCAATATTCCAGTGTAACCTTTTCTGGACCCTGTATTAATCAGGAATGGCCTTTTTTAAAAAAAAAAAAGAGAAAGAATTACAAATTTTGAAAAGGTCTCTCGCTATCGGGAATGCGCAAATTGCATGCCTACCTTTGTTACTTGAAATTAGCAATAATTTCCGTCAATTCCTTTATTACTTAATATGTCTTTTACGTGCCGATTTTATTTGTATTCATTTTCTTTATAATCGGTAAGAACAGATGAGCTTTATTATTTGAAACTGAACATTAAATTTTTTTAAATTATATTATAAATGGTTAAGCTGCAATATATTTTTGCAAGTAGGTTATGCGTTTCCGTTTTAGTCATTTTATGTTCAGCGCCGCGGAACTTTACCCCTGATTTTGTCGTATTGCGTTTCTTTATCGCCGATGAGGAAAGGTCTACGGAATGTATTTTCTATATTTGCACTTAAGTATCATACTTCTCCATCAAAAAAATAAATTTTCAAAAATCGAGTTACGTATGATACAACAACAAATTATTTTGTAAAAAGTGTCCGTTTTGCAAAGGTATTTTACGCTATGCACCGATAAATTTGATACAGATATATAATAGGCAGACATGATCTTTCAACAGTATTGAAGAATTATTAAGTTTTCACAATATTGAACAGAAAATTTAGGTCAGATTATCGTATCGAATTTCAACAGACTAGAGACATGACATCTTAACATACCTTCATTACTAAAGTGTGATTTTTATTTGATAATGAATTGCCTGAAAACTTAAACAAAAGTTTTCAGAAAATGACTTCACAGTGGATTACCCCTTGTTTACATTGAAAATTTCTCTGCTAGTCATACCGAAATAAGAAATTTAAATTTTATTCTCTTTAATAAATAATTTAAATATTTATAATCTTAAAACTTCAGGCCAGAAGTTAATAAAAAAGCTGCTTATTTGTACAGCTGACGTTAACAAATTTTTTTTGAAAAAAAAAACAAACAAATCAGACAGTGTGTCCGACCGAGGCCGAGCTGTTTATGTTTACTGAATTCAAATCACTTGAACTGAACTGCTATGCATTCGAAAACCACCAGGGACTTTTTATTCTTTCGTGTGGAAAACCTATCAAGCTAATTTTAAAAAGTCGTGTTTTTGGGTTTTAAAATTTGTTAAAAAACGGACGGGGCCCCCTTAAAAAAGGGGATGGGGTGAGTGGTTTGAAAAAAACCCCAAAAAAACATCTTAAAAAAAAAAGGAAAAAATTAATTTAAAGGTTGTGAATTAAGAAATTTTTACATTTTTTTTTTTCGAAAAAATGGGGAATATTTAAAAACCAAAAAAAAAGACTTATTTAATAAAAATGATAAGGAAAAACATGTTTTTGTTTTAAATAAAGTGCTTCCGAATGTAAAATTTAAAATTAAAAGTTTTATTGGGGAAAGAACTTTTAAATTTAAAAATAAAAGAAAAGAAAGCATAACCCCAAAAGTTGGGGGTTTTTTTTAGGCTGATTATCTAAAAAGAAATATATTTAAAATTTCCCCGGAAAGATGCCAAAATAAAAAGCCCTCGTATCATTTTTTATTTTTCAAACTGCGTCGTATCATTTCGTAAAAATCATTATTTTCTTAGAAAATAAACATCTCTTTTAATGAAATTTTAGTAAATGATGCAAAATTATGTTTTGAAGTTTATGGTGAACTCTGAAAACGAGTATATAATTGATTAGAAGGAAAAAACGATAGATAAAGCAATATGAACTGCGTCGTATCCACACATTTTCATAAAAATTCTGCCCCGCTTCGAGTTGCAAGTTCGCTATAACTTTTGTTTTACAAAATAGTTGTGCAAGCAACATATATAACGAACGAAGCGGAAAATAGTGTAGCGTGTTTAATACATATATTCTGTTTTCAGTCATTTTCCAAACAAAAAGAGTTATAAAACAAAAACATACATTTTTTCGCTCCAAGATGGCGGCGTTTGTTTACATTTTTGTAGGATACGCGCCAGTTTTGATTCCCAGCCCTGACCTTATAACATGTACAAATTTTCCTCGTTAAACCGGGGAAAAAGACGCCTGTTAGGCTCAACACAAGAACCCCGGGATACAAAATATTCAAATTTTTTATCTAATTGTGGTTTTGGATTAATAATAGTTAATTATTTTAATGAAAATTCATAAAAAAACAACAAAAGATTTTTTTTTAAAAGCGTAAAAACGCACGGTGTTTCATTGAAAAGATTTTAAAATTTTAAGGGAAAAACCAAAATTAGCCTGTATGATCTCCCATAAATATTTTTTAAAATTCTTGCTATGTTTGGGCCAATGAGATTAGCTTTTTTTTATTAAAATTAAAACAAAATTTCTATCCAACCTTTCTTTAATTCTATAAATTTTTAAAAGCAAAAAGGATTCTTTAATTGGTTTTTTCCTAAAAGCTTTAAACTTAGAAGGGTATTTTATTGATTAAGGGGATATTTTTCATTTTAGTTTAAAATTTACTCTCCCCAAATATTTTGAATATTTAAAAATTTTTATATTTAAAAAAAATCCTTAATATTGTATTTTTCTGTAAAATTTGGTTTTAGAAATTGCTATTATGTTAAAAAAAGAAGTTTTTCTTTTTTAAAGGTTGGGGTTTTTAAATTTTCCGCGCGGGTTAGATTAATGGGCCTGTGTAATACGTTTAAAACAGGGTTTCCTGGGCATTGTGCAATAATAGCTTTTCAGAATGAGGGGATAAGGGGGCCCTGCATACTCAGCGTTTTAAACCCGAATGTCCCTTTGAAATTAATACGTTTGGCACATGAGGGTTAAATCACTTTTAAAAAAACTGTAGGTTAAAAAGGTATAAAGTCCTTTTATAGTCAAATGTTACCGTATTATGTTCCCAAAACTATTGTC